GAGGGCAGTGTTTCTCAACCTTAGCCACTCTTCGATGAGTGGACTTCAATTCCCAGAATTCTCCAGCCAGCACAGAATTCTGGGAGTTGAAGTCCGCTCATCTTAAAGTAATTAAGTTTGAGAGAAACGCTGAAATACTGTTGCAGCAGATCCTGCTTCCAATTCACGACACAAGACCACGAAGGGTGGTAGAACACAGGTTTATTTGCGCAAAGGTTCAGAGCATTAACATGACAACTTCTGAACCCCTGGCTACTCCCGAGGTGTGACTTTTTTTCAGCACACAGCCCTAGCTTCGCCCAGGGTGTTTCTCTTATCTAGCTATACCATAACGTATGTATCAGAGAAAAGGAGTAGTAGTTCTAATTAGTCATCTTGCACAATTCACCATATACGTTATTATCTTACACCATCTGTTATTTTCCATAGCCACCCTTGCCATATAGTTTGTTACAGAAAATATCTAGTTCATAGGTTATGATGTTTACATTCTTATTCATCAAATTTTCTGTATTGTCCCAACGTTTGCAACATAAAAGATTAAGCAACTTCTGCTAACTGTCATATTTGCAATACAAGCTAAACAACTTCTGCTAATCATATTAATACTTTTCTGGTACTTTTCCATACGGCTTCAATAGGACAAGGATGGATGTGTAACCCACTTCCCACCCATGGCAAAGATTACCCAAAAGCAAGAACAATGCCATTTCCAGATCTCAATCCAGACTGTAAAGCAAACTTGGCAAGTTTAAGACTTGTGGACTTCCAACTCCCAGAATTCCTTGAGCTAACATGACTGGAGGAGGAATTCTGGGAGTTGAAGTCCACAAGTCTTAAAGCTGTCAAGTTTGAAGGCCCCTGCTGTAAAGGATCCAGATAATCTGTCTTGTCTAAGGCCCTCTGAAGGTGTCACCCAACCATCATCTCTAACACCTTTGGTTGGATACTGGATGAAAATTCTGCAGTGTCTGAGGACGCAACAATGGCTTTCTTGAGGAGGGGGCAGAAAGGCCTCCTTAAGAGGCACAGGAACAACCCCGCCCCCAATTCAAAGAAGAATTCCCCGTCACCAGAACCCACCCACTCAATTCAAAGCCAAAAGTGTCGTAGATCTAAAGAGAAGGCCCTTTATTATATCTTTCTGCCATTGCTTAAATAGTTGATGTTTTTCTTTTTTCATCCTCACCCCAGCAATTCTCTCATCCCCTTTTACCTCCATTCAATATTCAATTAGCTTATTGAATATTCAATAAGCTCATGAGTGCTGGATGGGAGACCACCAGGAGCTCTAGGATGGGCCAGGAAGTAAATATATATCCAAGAGGACCTCTCCGTTTAGTTGTCCTGAAATCCTGAAATCACAAGAGTTCACGAACTCCTTTACCTAAGGTGATTAAACTGGGTTTCCTTCATCTCTTCTTGGCAAGGCTCTCTTGAGGGTACGCCCATGTGTGAATGTGAGAGTACAAATGGAAGCAGGTAGAAGTTGCGCTGAAGACATGTACAGTTATCAATCTAAAATAATTACTTTCTCTGTGTGAATTTTCATGTGACTTCTAAGGGCTGATTCGCGACGGAAAAATGTTCCACACTCGATGCACCGATGGGGCTTCTCCGCCGAGTGAATTCTCTGATGTTCCGTCCTCTGAGCAAAACATTTCTCACACTCCCCACATTTACAGGGCTTCTCCCCTGTGTGGATGCTCTGATGTACACCAACTTCTGAATTTTGATAAAAACTTTTCCCGTAGTCCCCACATTTATAGGGCTTCTCTCCTCTGTGCCCCTTCTGGTGTCCCTGAAGTTCAGCAGAATCCACAAATCGTTTTGCACATACCAGGCATTCATAGGGACCGTCCCCAATGTGAACTTTCTGATGTCGCAACAAATGTGATTTCTGGGAAAAACATTTCCCACATTCCGGGCACTTTTCCTGACTTTTATGCGCTTTCTTATGCCTCCGAAGAGATGAACGCCAACTGAAACTTTTCCCACACTCGGGGCATTGATAAGAACCTCTTCCTGTGTGAATCTTCTCGTGTACCCGAAGGTCTGAACTGCGGGTAAAGCCTTTCCCACATTCCCCGCACTTGTAAGGTTTCTCCCCTGTGTGAAATTTCTCGTGATTCCTGAGATATTCTTTGTGAGTAAAAGATTTCCCACATTCCTGACACCGATTAGGTTTTTCTCCGGTATGAATATGCTGATGCCTCAAAAGATTTGCTTTTCTGCTAAAACATTTCCCGCACTTGGAGCACTTATGGGGCGTCACTCCGAGATGCATTATGTTGTAGTGATTTCTAAGGGATGACGAATAAGCGAATGTTCTTCCGCAGTCTAAACATTTGTAATCTTTTTCTACTTTGTGAACTTTCCCGTGACGTGTGAGGCCTCCTTTGGTGTGAAAAAACATTCCACACTCGATGCACTGAAAGGGCTTCTCCCCCGAGTGAATCTTC